AAGGTTTCTGAGAACCATCCTAATTGCAGTCGCCCGGTATTCCCTCCCTTCCTTTAGCCAAGGGCCACCCATGCTAACATTATAAACCCACCGTCTTAAGTGTTCAAGGTTACTCCACGAAAAACAATCACAGCTAAAAATGGTAGCCATGAGTCAACGCTTTACCATCGAATAACATTATCGTCGCAAGAAATGATTTACGCAGCCTTATTTCATCGACGATGATGCAAATGAGGCCTCAAGGATTCCAGATGTTGCCAAAAAAGAATGACTAAAGGATTGCTGAACTGGCAGGATAAAAGTAAAAGTGTTTGTTGTTTAGACTACTCGTTCCGAAAGGTTCACCTGAACGATATTAGTAGCTGTAGGAATATAAATTTAATACTTGTTAAGATCACGTCCGCATATTTGATGCTTTTTAAACGTGATTAACAAGATGCTTTACGTAACGCAGATCGTGGATCTCGTAACACGACCAGACGGTAATAAGCACGCGCGAAAACGTGTCCTTTCTATGCTCGAGTAAATTGATCGATCGATTTATCACGGATAAAAGCATTTCTCGTTCGATAAATCCTGATTATTCTCTTGGGTCGAGATTTATCGTAACGAGGTAGGAGATAGTGGACTTGAGAGATACTGGACTTAAGGAATCTAGGGATCCCTAGATTTCAAACATACATGTATTCAAAATATATCATAGTTCAAAAGATATTGACCTAAGTAACTATTGTACAAACTCAGAGTATATTAAAATTAAGCTGCAAAGTCTAACTTTATCTGAAATATGAACGAACGTAAAAATCCCTAGATAAGAAGACCGAAAAGAAATTTTGAATAGACTGATCGATTTGTCGAGGATAAAAACATTTCTCTTTGACTGTCCTGTTTGATATATTGAGATTAATTTCTTACTTTATTGTTGAGACTTAAAGTTACCTGTTGATTGTACCACTGAAGTCTAGGGATCCCTAGATTTCAAACATATATGTATTCAAAATGTAACATAGTTTGAAAGATATTAACTTGAGGAACTATTATACAAACTCAGAGTACATGAAAATTAAGCTGCAAAGTCTAACTTTATCTGAAATATGAACGAACGTAAAAATCCCTAGATAAGAAGACCGAAAAGAAATTTTGAATAGACTGATCGATTTGTCAAGGATAAAAACATTTCTTTTTAAATGTTCTGTTCGATAAATTGAGATTATTCTCTTACTTCATTTTTGAGACTTAAAGTTACCTATTGACTGCACCACTGAAGTCTAGGGATCCCTAGATTTCAAACATACATGTATTCAAAATGTAACATAGTTCAAAAGCTATCATCTTGAGGAACTATTATACAAACTCAGAGTACATTAAAATTAAGTTGGAAAGTTTGGGTTTATTAAAAATATGATCGAACGTAAAAATCCCTAGATTACAAGACTGCAACAAAATTTAGAATAAACTGATCAATTTATCACAGATAAAAGCATTTCTCTTTGAGTGTTCTATTCGATAAATTGAGATTACTCTCTTACTTCATTCTTGAGACCTAAAGTTACCTATTCACTGAAGCCACAAGTACAACTGAAGCCTAGGGATCCCTAGAATCCCAACTCCACATCTCCAAAATTCAAACTAGTTTAGAAGCTTCCTACCTACCTAACCTAACAATCACGAAAACTTTAACTTCACATAAAAATTAAATTGGAAACCTTGATCTTATCTAACATATAAAATATAAAAGTCCCTAGACAAAGAGTTATCCCCACGAATTATCCCTATTATCCCTATAATCAAATTCGAATAAAAACAACACATATTAGGTATACAATAATGATCAAGCATAAAAGGAAACAATGTTTAAAATTCGAAACCACGCCCAACAGCGTTCGAATTCGAATCACGATCGATCGACGATGGAATCAATCGGTTATCGGGTTCGGCGCGTTTCCGATGACGACGTCGCCTCCCACCTGGATCGTTGGAAAGGACACGAGTTATTTCTGGAAGGTGATTCTCGGCTAATGCAAACATTCCGTTCAGCGATTTTTCAGACGCACTTAGAAAGTCGTGGAAACTCCTGGATTTTCAACGACGAAAGTTCCTTTCAATTATTGGGCACCAGCTTCAAAACTCGTTGGAACGCGTTCAAGTACTTTCTTCTTTTACGATTTGCAACGACATCGATGATTTGTTTCTTTAACGCTTTGGAATTTCGTTGGTAGTTTCTCTTTCGTGAAACCTTTCGATTCTCGATACTTTTGGTTATTCATCAATTTTAAACCCGTTTAGTAAATTTTTGGAGGATTCAGAATAAATCGAGATTTAATGTTGAATTAATGCACTTCGGAGGTAAACAGAGAGGAACGAGAAAAATGCAGATGGAGGAACCAGTTCTGGACCTCGATCTGGAACACGTGAGACCGTGAGAGAGAAAATATGACGTGCCCGACACTTCCGGTAACAGGAGAATCCAATAACGATCGTCTCTCTCGATTAAATGCAGCGGAGAAGGCGTTGGTGTCGACTGGTCATTGATCTATCTACTGGTCTCAACTTCTATTGAGTCATTCATCAACTACAAATTGAATAATTCTTTTTATACCACATTGAAATTGATATGGGCACTCTCCAAGGACTTTTTTGGGAATGGGAAAATTTAACCTAACCAGTCAGAAATAACTCTTGTAATATTAAAATAAATGACAAGACTCGAAATGTTAGACATAGAACGTTGGAAAAGTAATGGAACTCTTTTTTAAGCAAAACTAACACCATCTATTAAACAAATATTTTATCTAAAAACAGTATACCTCCTCTACAAAACACAATAATTATTATTGTGAGATAGAACGAATAGATTTACAGAACGTTACTCTCACACTGATTAAAAGTGAATTTAAAGTTGTGGTTCGTACGCTCGCCACTAGGCGGCGCAGAAGACTTGACTTTCTCGCTAGTACTCAAGGAGCAATCCTACACATGTGTCAGAACAATAACAGAACTTATTAAATACAAAGAAAAAGCTATTTTGCCAAAATTGTGTATTATGTAGTAATCATAAATTGTACAAACTGTAACTGGTACTGTACTCAAAGCTCAGAACAAGTGTGATATATTTTTGTCAGATGTGAACATGAAAACATCATGTGATCTGTCACTCCATATCAATCCCCCAAATAATTCATCTCCCACAAATAAATTTCATGAAGCAATTTTAAAGAAATAAAAAAGTATAAAGAAATCCCAAGCTTAATAGCACCGACAGAAAGCATCGAATGAAGTCATTAAACGCTTAATACCCCGATCGCGGTACAACACGATATTAGGCTAGCATTAAAGAAGATTTACAGACGTATCGAGCACAAAAGATCCTTTACGATTTCCACGAAGTATATTTCACAATTGCGTTGCCTTTTATCGTGTACGATCTTGCACGCGTGTACAGATATGTAATTCTCCGAGCGGCAAAGTGCATTTAGCAACATTTCACGGAGTCGATACAGCCATAGAGTTTCGAGACGTCCTACGTGGACGCGGAACTCGCGTGTGCGAAGCTCTGCAAGTGCAAAGTCCTCGTGAATGGCCTCCATGCTTCGTAGCTTATGACATAATAGTTTTATGGCAGGCTATCTACATATGTGTACACACGTATGCGCTATAATGCACTTACGGCCGCGTCTGAAAGACGCGGCGAATACGTTACTTGTCAGAGGTATAATAACTTTTGTAATTCATCTGTATGACGAAGGTGAAAGGAGACGATTTTACTGCGCGAAAAAATACAAGCGAGATATTTCCCTAGATTATGGCTGTATTTTGTACTCCTTTCAAGTACTTTTTTTACTTCATTTTATCTTAGGTTGCTGAATTTTAATTTAACTTATTGTTGCTGAATTTCAACTTGTATTATTGTTGCTGAATTTCATTTTAACTTTATTGTAGCTAAACTTCATTTTACCTTATTGTTACTGAACTTCTATTTATCTTAATGTTGCTGAATTTCAATTTATTTTATTGTTGCTGAATTTCAATTTGACTTATTGTAGCTGAATTTCATTTTAACTTTATTGTAGCTGAACTTCATTTTACCTTATTGTTACTGAATTTCAATTTATCTTAATGTTGCTGAATTTCAATTTATTTTATTGTTGCTGAATTTCAATTTGACTTATTGTAGCTGAATTTCAATTTGATTTATTGTAGCTGAATTTCATTTTAACTTTATTGTAGCTGAACTACATTTTACCTTATTGTTACTGAATTTCAATTTATCTTAATGTTGCTGAATTTCAATTTATTTTATTGTTGCTGAATTTCAATTTGACTTATTGTAGCTGAATTTCATTTTAACTTTATTGTAGCTGAACTTCATTTTACCTTATTGTTACTGAACTTCTATTTATCTTAATGTTGCTGAATTTCAATTTATTTTATTGTTGCTGAATTTCAATTTGACTTATTGTAGCTGAATTTCAATTTGATTTATTGTAGCTGAATTTCATTTTAACTTTATTGTAGCTGAACTACATTTTACCTTATTGTTACTGAATTTCAATTTATCTTAATGTTGCTGAATTCCAACTTATCTAATTGTAGCTGAATTTCAATTTTTTGTTCGTGTTGCTGAATTTCACGACTCCATGAGTCTTACAGCCAGTTTCACGAATCCCTCAAGACCTTTCAAAGATCAGAGTCATCGAGCGGAACGCTCGGTCAAACGTGAATCGAACCACAGATAATATTGTCGTTTATTAATGTCCCTGTCTAGGAAAAACTTGGGGAGAAAATTTCCGTTTTCGCTTGCATAACCGTCGTGTACACGCTTGCGTAACATCATAAGAGTAACGCTGTCGTGAAATTGGAAAGACAATCGTGAAAGCGTGAGAATTATTTTCCAACGATTCCCTAACAATCTTTATCGAATTCGCGGGTATCAAAAAGTTTAATTATCATGGCTAAGAAGTAGTCGCTGTATAATTTTTCAGGAGATTAATTACACTCACCTTCGTGTGAAGGAACGCTAATGATTTGTTCACGTTCTCGATCTTGTGCACTCTCATTCGACCATTGTTTGGTTTCGCCAATCGTTCGCCGGAGATGATTTCCAATAATTTTAGGAGCTTCTTGCCGTCTGCTAGGTCCGTGAATAAATCGTCCACTTCCATGCGTGCCTGTAAAGTGAAAGTAATCGATTCGACGACGGATTTCTTCCTGTGTAGATACGCCTGCTATTTACATCTCTTTTTTATATAATATCCAATAAAATTAAGTAGCGACAAGAACTAGACGTTTATGCATTTTAACTTTCTCTGTCTTTTATGTACATTATTTTTGAAACACCCTATACTTTAAATAAAATTGTACTTTTATTAAAAGCTTTATGATAAGGTATTCATAACATGAGTATTAAACAAGGTTTTTGTGTTGGACACCACAATTCAAATTTGTAATTTAATTTTGAAACGACCTGTAGTTTAAAAAATTCCAAAATTCAAAACTGTAGAGGAGAGGTTTAAAAAAGAGATTTATAAAGGAGATTGTTTAATGTAAAAATGATTATATAAAAATTATAAAGGAGACTTATGTTAAAAATTATTATATACCATGCTATGTTTAAAATTTTGAAACAGCCTTTAGTAAAAAAATTCCAAATACAAAACTACATATGTGAGATTTATAAAGGAGATTGTACAATGTAAAAATGATTATATAAAAATTATAAAGGAGACTTATGTTAAAAATTATTATATACCATGCTATGTTTGAAATTTTGAAACAACCTGTAGTAACAAAATTCCAAATACAAAACTACATATGTGAGATTTATAAAGGAGATTGTACAATGTAAAAATGATTATATAAAAATTATAAAGGAGACTTATGTTAAAAATTATTATATACCATGCTATGTTTGAAATTTTGAAACAACCTGTAGTACAAAAAATTCCAAATTCAAAACTATATACATGACATTTCTGAAGACAATTTTTAAAGGAGATTGTATAGGGTAAAAATGATTATATAAAAATTATAAAGGAGACTTATGTTAAAAGTTAGAGATATTGTGCTATGTTTCAAACTTTGAATCAACCTGTATATGTGTTATATGCAATTTAACCGTGCAACTTAAGTGTTTCACTGAACTGTTCTAACATACATTTCACATGATTTATGAACTGTAAATACCTAAATATCAGCAAGTGTCGCAATGTTCTACGATCACAATTCAGTACACATGGTACTGATCAAAATTTAATAGCTCCAATCAAATAGTTAATAAATTCACCATAACAATGTTACATAAATTATAAATTTGTAAATACATGAATTATAAATTCGTAAATATATGAAATATAAATTCGTAAATATATGAAATATAAATTCGTAAATACATAAATCATAAATTCAGAAACACATCAATAATAAATTCATAAATACATGAATTACAACAAATGACAAATAATGTAAAAATAGAGAAGGTCCATAAAAATAGATAATATAAATACTGATAATGAGAGGATTAAATCTAGGCACAGTACCTTTAACAGGAACGAGTTGATCCATTTCGTGAACGTCTTCTTCTGAATATGCAGACGTTCCTCTTGCAGGGCCTTGATACGGCCCTGCTCGAATTTCAGTGCGTCCTCTCTTTGAGTCATTCTTTTCTGTATATCAGGACCACCCCTGAATCTGTCGGTTTTGATCGGTGGATAATTCGGTACGTATTCGAGGTTGAAGGTCCTGTTTTGGGGTGCGGCGCCAAGCCCAGCGCCGGGCACATACTGCGCCCCTGTAACCAAAACATTTCCTTCAAATTAGACATTCTCCGATGTAAACACACGTGTAGTAATATTTAAAGAATGAAGTTTCCGTTTCCTATCTGTGTTTAGACTGTTTGGTGACAGTCTGGTTTCTTTGATGTTGCATGTTGGACCATGTGGCTTTCGTTAGGTACATGTGGATGTGTTTTGAATGTTAAGGTAGTCTGAACATTGGTAGTTTGACTATTAGGGTAGTTTGAACATCAAGGTAGATTGAACATTAGGGTAGTTTGAATTTTCTACCCTTCGAATTTCTACCCTTCCAAATTCCTAAATTCTCAAATTTCTACTCTCGTATATTCCAAAATTTCCAAATATCTAATTTCCCAAATTTCTACCCTTCCAAATTCCTAAATTGCCAAATTTCCAAGCTCCCGAATTTCTACCCTCCCAAATTCCTAAATTGCCAAATCTCCAAGCTCCCGAATTTCTACGCTCCCAAATTCCTAAATTGTCAAATTTCCAAGCTCCCAAATTCCTAAATTGCCAAATCCCAAAATTCCCTAATTTCTACCCTCCCAAATCTCTAAATTGCCAAATTTCCAAGCTTCCGAATTTCTAGCCTCCCAAATCCCTAAATTGCCAAATCTCCAAGCTCCCGAATTTCAACCCTCCCAAATTCCTAAATTGCCAAATCTCCAAGCTCCCAAATTTCTACCCTCCCAAATCCCTAACCTCCCCAAATCTCAAAACTCACCAAATCCCTAATCTCCCAAATCCCTAACCTCCCCAAATCCAAAAACTCACCAAATCCCTAGTCTCCCAAATCCCTACCTCCCCAAATCCCTAATCTCCCAAATCCCTAACCTCCCCAAATCCCTAACTTCCCCAAATCCCTAACCTCCCCAAATCCCTAACTTCCCCAAATCCCTAACCTTCCCAAATTTCCACTCACTCAAACCCCTATCTTCCTTCCTCCCCTCCCAAATCCCCAAATTCCCAACTTTCCCAATAAACACAATTTTATCCAAATCTCCCATTTCACATCCCCATAAAAACAAGCGACCCCTTCACATTCACTCTCCACTATAATCCTCCTTTATAAGGCTTGAAAAAATCTTCATATAAAATTCACAACAGAAACAATAATCTCGTCGAGTCATCCTCAAAATCTCTCCTTTTGTCTCTACACGTTCTCTTTTATTCTACATCGTCTTCTTCACAATAACCCATCGCCAAATATGAATATTGTACATTTCTCATATACAAAAATAATCATCAATTAATTATCAGAGATATTACAAAAACTCCCGTGTCGAATAATTCAGCGAGATTACGAATTCAGCAGCGAAAGGAATCACGATTTTTAATTAAATACCTGGTCGAGAATGTTTTAGCCAAGAACTCGTTTGTAAATGCTAAAGCTTGTTTTACCAGAGGTCACGGATTTCGTCTGACCAGTCTCTCTGGATCTACTTCTTATTTCCGTCGAGACGAAAGCGTTTCTTGTACGCAGTGTAGTTTAATCTTACAGATTTTTAGATAAAAAATACCGTTCAAAAACTTGTTATCAAACGTTCTAATAAAACGTTTTACTGGTACGGTTTCGATATCATCGGAATTAGCGGTGAAGTTTCAAAACAGTCTAACAATAAATCATCGCTAAAGTATGATATCGAATACATCTGTTTTGAGAATTTTTATTCTGGGAATGGATAAAACATTTCTAGGGCGTTTCGTTTAAATTCAATAGCATTAATGAATTAGAGGAGGCAGGTTTTTAATTTGGTTGAGAAAAATGAAGGTTGATTTTTGAGGTATTAAGTTTAGGGCATGTGGAGGTTTTTCTTTTGGAACGTCCTGTAGAGTACTTTAATTTAATAGCACACCTAAAGAAATCTAATGGTATATCTAACTCAACCTGATAATATATCTAACATAACCTAACAAAATTTCTAAGATAAACTAGTATCTAAACTAACCTAACAAAATTTCTGACCCAACTAAATATTCAACCTCACCTTTCAAAATTTCTAACTGAACCTAATATCTAACCTAACCTAATAAGATTTCTAATGTAACCTAATATCAAACCTAACCTAATAAAATTTGTAACCCAACCAAATATCCAACCTCACCTTTCAAAATTTCTAACCCAACCAAATATCCAACCTCACCTTTCAAAATTTCTAACTGAACCTAATATCTAACCTAACCTAATAAGATTTGTGATCTAACCTAATATCAAACCTAACCTAACAAAATTTCTAACCCAACATAATATCCAACCTCACCTTTCAATATTTCTAACCCAAGCTAATATCTAACTTAACCTAACAAAATTTCTAACCCAAGCTAATATCTAACTTAACCTAACAAAATTTCTAACCCAACCTAATATCTAATCTAACCTAACAAAATTTCTAACCCAACCTAATATCTAACTCAACACAGTAAAATATGAGTCAACAAAACGTGACAAAAATATAAATGAAGTACTCAATCGATTTTGATCAGCAACACGTTCGATCCTCGTGCTTTATCACCGTGTTGCATTAATCGATCCGTGCCACAGTGCTTATCGGTGGAAAGATATTATTTATCCGTGGGGAGAGAAAATGCGAAGGACACTGTATAGTTTGATCTCGTTGTTCGTGGACGATGATTTTCTATTTCTACGACGTGGAAGTGGATTTTTCAGCAGAGAGATATAGCTTATCTACGTCCCTGATAAGTAACGTTTGAAATAGTTACGTGCCACGGTTCTCATTCTGTTGCGTACAATTTTCTCTTGGTAGTTTAACTTGTGTTATAGATCAAATCAGACAATCAATGTTTTACCAAGTAAGGTAGAAAAAAAATAAAATAGTGAACTAGTATCTTGAATACTAATATTCTAATTTTTTTAACAGAGAATATCCTTGACAATTTATCTTAATGTCCAGTTGTTAATATTTTAAGAATTTATGTTAACAACAGTTAAATGAAATATTCAATATTTTAAATACCTGTGTATTACGCCTCACATAATTAACATCACTGATAACCGAACCTAATGTTCATGAACACATATTATCTTAAATATGCTAATTGTTGGAACACGCAGAACAGCAGTCACTTATTAACTACTTGAACAGTCAGAAACTGAGTCCTTGCAAAATTAGGGACCTCAAAAATTAGAAACTTAAAAGATTTATACAAAACATTAAAAAAGAACAACAGCAGAATATAAAATATTGTCCACTGTACAAAACAACAGTAATCTGAAACAAGAATTGAGAAGCGTGTAAAACCGAGGGCAATGACAAGGTAACATCCTAGATTTGATTAGACTGCTTAGCTTCTTTAGTTGTCGTGTTTCTAAGCTGCTGGAAACCATGTAACACGATTGTAACAGACGCATGTGTGCACGCACTTCGGATTCCTCGAGCGGAACCTCCGCAAACATGTTTAGTTTCGCGCAAAGGTTGCTGTTTAAGCAGTTGGTCGCTCGAAACGAGATTTTAGCTGTGCTCCGATTTCTGGTTGCATATTGCGAAATTTGATCAGGCAAATTCGATGTCAATTTTATATTTGTTGCTTATTGCGTGTGGATTTAGAGGTTTTATTGGTGACGGAGAATGGATGGGGTTGATGTTGTGGATGGGGTTGAATTTTCAGGGGTCTACAAGGCTGAGGATTATCAAGGTTTTATATTTTCAAGGTGAGGAAGTTGTGAGGAGATAAATTTGTGAGATACGACATTCTCAGGGTTCAAACTGTCGAGGTTCCAGATTTTGAAGGTGGCAAACTGTCGAGGGTCCAAACTCTCAAGGTTCCAATTTTTCAAGGTTGCAAACTCTGAAGGTTCCAATTTTTCAAGGTTGCAAACTTTCAAGGTTCCAAATTCTCAAGGTTCCAATCTCTCGAAGGTCCCATCTCTCAAGGGTCCAAACTCTCAAAGGTCCAATCTCTCAAGGTTCCAAATTCTCAAGGTTCCAATCTCCCAAGGTTCCAAACTCTCAAGGTTCCAAACTCCAAAGGTTGCAATCTCTCAAGGTTCCAAACTCTCCAAGGTTCCAAACTCCCAAGGTTGCAATCTCTCAAGGTTCCAAACTCTCCAAGGTTCCAAACTCCCAAGGTTGCAATCTCTCAAGGTTCCAAACTCTCCAAGGTTCCAATCTCCCAAGGTTCCAAACTCTCAAGGTTCCAATCTCTCAAGGTTCCAATTTCTCAAGGGTCCAATCTCTCAAGGGTCCAATCTCTCAAAGTTCCAATCTCCCAAGGTTCCAATCTCTCAAAATTCCAATCTCTCAAGGTTCCAAACTCTCCAAGGTTCCAAACTCCCAAGGTTGCAATCTCTCAAGGTTCCAAATTGTCAAGGTTCCAAACTCTCAAGGTTCCAATCTCTCGAGGGTCCAATCTCTCAAAGTTCCAAACTCTCCAAGCTTCCAAACTCCCAAGGTTGCAATCTCTCAAGGTTCCAATATTCCAAAATCCCAAATCCCTAATATCCCAAATTCCATTCCCCCAAATCCCCCAAATCTCCACCTCTAAAAGTACACATTCTCCCCAAACTCCCAAGTTCCAAATCTCCCTCTATCCCAAACTTCCACCCTACAAAGTTCCCTAAACCTCCAGCACGAACTTTCTAGCTCCTCCAAAAGAATCTTCTATCTCAACGTCATCAGACGTGTTAATTTCACAAAAGCATCAACGTTTTCCTTACTAATTAACAACGTTTCATCCTATGAACTCATGCATCACCAACTCCTCGCTGTTATTAAAATTAGAAACCGATATTTAACATTGTAATCGAACGATAGCTTCAAAGGGGGCGTAATGAAACGACAATGAACGCAATGAAGATCGCAGACAAGAAAGATTGTAGGCAGTTCACGAGTCGCAGCTAAACAGCAAACGACACCCGGAGCCTGTGTATTGAGCTCTAATTACATGGAATGTGCGACGAGAATTTCAACAGATAATCTCTTATCTGAACAGATAAACTGGTAGACAGGTGTGGTTGTTTAATCGTTGACTGCTGTCG